TTAAAAAAACTTCAAACCCTAAGCCCTAAATTACAAGCTGCAGAAGTTGCCGCCCGCAGCGTTGTCGAGGGCTCGGGTTTCGAGGGAAAGCCTGTAGCCACCCTGGGACGCCTTTGCAGGCCTGCTGGCGGAGTGCAGGATAATTCACGGTTTAGGGTTTAGGGTTTTGGGTTTTGGATAATTAGGAGCCCCAAAAGCACATAAGCAGGAGCATTTTGTCGGGATATCCCTACCTTATGTAAGGGGGTTTATAAGGGATATCCCTAACCACATTTTTGCTTGTGCGCCCCAGAGGTGATGTCACCCAGAAGATCCCAGAAGCCCTTAACGCGAAACCGTTAAACCCGTATATATTCTACCTATTCGATAGCCGGGGTCTAGGGCTTAAGGGTTTCAGGGCTTAGGGTTTAGGGCCTAGACGGTTTACAAGATCTATTCTGGTTTAAAGCAACCTAAACCGAAGTCACAACCTAACCGAACCTGTCCAAGGATCCCGAAAATACAGCCGAGTGTCGCTGCATGAATCCGAAACCCTAAAGGAACCCTACCCTACACCCTAAACCCTAAACCCCTCAAACCCTAAACCCCTAAACCCTAAACCACTAAACCCTAAACCCCTAAACCCCTAAACCCTTAACCCCCAAACCCCTAAACCCTTAACCCCTAAACCCCTAAACCCTTAACCCCTAAACCCCTAAACCCTTAACCCCTAATCCCCTTAACCCCTAACCCCCTAAACCCTACACCCAAATCAACCTGGCTTGTAGTTGCAACCCTGCTTCATTTTGCAGCTCCGGAAGCCCAGACTCTTCGGGTTCAGGGTTTGGTGTTTCGCGTTTGGTATAGCTTACGGCTTAGGATTCAGGGCTCAGTAAGATGTGGTATTTTGGGGTTTAGGGTTTGGGGTTTGGTGTTTAGGGTTGAATCGGGTTCAGGGTTTATCATCATGGCTAGCAGGAGTGGCATGTGTTTGGGGTCAGTTTAGATGGCTCGACTCTTTCAACTGGCATGCTAAACAGAGCTTGCGGCACTAAACTCCAAACCTTGCATTCTCGACTTGCAGTGAGCCCGCAGCCTAGAAAGTCAACCCGCCCTGCATTGAGGCCAAGCCTTGTCGTCGTCAAGGAATGAGGTTGGGGCTTAGTGTCAATGTATGCAAGCAGAAACAATGAATGCCCTTCGACAAACCACAATGATTTGCCCATGCCGTGTCTATTGGTCTTTGCAAAATGCAGAGAATGCTATTGCTATCTCAGCCCCCCCCCCCAAGCCTCCAAGACACAGAAGCAGTCAACGCTCGTAATGAGGAGCCCCAAATATGGACGGCAATCCCCTCAGCAAAACAGTGGCTCCCATTTGTTTCCCGTTGTCGCGAGGCCATGACGAAACTGACGGCGGCTTGCTTGCTGCCCGTCTTCAATGCTTGGGGGTGGGGGGCTGTAGAGGACTGGGAAGGGTTGTAATCAATATAGAAGCCTGAATTAACCGGTAATACTACGCGTTAGAGTCCTTGATTTTAACTAGATATAGCAACTGTAACATAGCACAAAGCACTATTCTAGTTATCAAGAGTTGCAAGGTGCAAGGGCTCTTTCAAACTTGTCGGTTATTGTTCAGGAATGTAAGTGAAAGTTACCAAAATAAATGGAGAGCTCCGGCTTATGGTGCTAAAGTCTAGGCTAGGCATCGATTGGGAATAGCTTTTGGCTTTCCTTATTGTTAATATAGCGCCCTAATTATACATAATTTTGGAGATCGTTGAATCTCAGGGTTTCTAGTAAAGAAGTATTATAGGATCTGCCCAAACCCGCAGTCGACACCTACTAAACGCTTTTGCGCTCCATTAAAACCGTTCAAGGGTGTATCGGCTCAATGTTTCAGGGCTACCTTGCAAACCTTGCACCCTCCCAGTAACATCCAAAGCCCCAAACTGTGAGCGCTTTGGAGAAAGGCGCACTGCAACTTAAAAACAACACAGTAGCACCCTCAGCATTCAAATCCCCGAAGCCCGAAGCCCTGAGCCCCAAAACCCTGCAGAACCCTCAAAGGATTCTTGCTGAGATCCCAAGAAATCACTTCAGGAGCCTTAGCCAGGTTCCTCAGTAGTATCCTTTTGCACTGTGTTTTTTTTGGGGTTACCCTATCACAACCCACTGATAGGAAAAAAGGGTACTTTTGTCAATATGGGGGAGCCTAAACCCTACACCCTAGGAACCCAGGCCCCGAAGCCCTAAACCGCTAACCCCCAAACCCTAAGCCCTTAAATCTTAATCGTGGCTTCCAGGGCATGAGGAAACCGAATCTGAGGCTATGGGGGCTAAAGAGCCAAACATCCAGAGAGCCCAATACCCCTTAATTAAGGTATACAGGGCTTCATGATTGAAGCTAGATTCCTTAGTTAAGGGGGTATTGGGCTCTCTGGGTACCTAGGCAGGGAAGATAGCGACGGAGCTCTGAAGGCTCCTGATAAGGACCCTAAGGGTCCAAAGGACCCAATAATAAGGTACTTGGGTTGCAGGATAGTAGTTATGTAGCTCTGCATTTGGAGAGTATATGATCATTAGGTACTTGGACCCTTAGGGCGAGTGCGGAAGGGGGGGGGCTCAAAATCAGGTGAGTAAAATTTGCAGGGTTTAAAATAGGGGCCTCTATGAATACCAACACTATTTTGGGGGATCCTTACTATAATTATAGTATCATGGGCCCCAAGATTAGGATTCAGGGCTTGGGGCTTGGGTTTAGGGTTTGGGGGCTCAGGATCTGGCGCTCAGGGTCCAAGAGTTTAAGGCGTGCGAAACGAAAGCGGTATCATATTTTGGGATCCTTATAATAAGGATCCTCCTATGTAGCTAGGGTACTTTTTTGGGTCAACAGTAGTAGTAGTAGTAGTAGTAGTAGTAGTAGTAGTAGTAGTAGTAGTAGTAGTAGTAGTAGTAGTAGTAGTAGTAGTAGTAGTAGTAGTAGTAGTAGTAGTAGATCGGTCGCCGCACCCGAAACTCACAACCTAAAGCCCCTAACACCGTGAACCCTAAGCCAAAGACCCTGAACCCGCATAGTTGCCTTGTTAATGCCCTTTCTTGGAGGGTCGGGGGACTTAGTAACTAGTTATTTTAGGGACTTATAAGTACCACAACCCCAATTAGAGTTCCTTTTCGGGTACTTGTAAGTCTACTTGCTACCTACTTACTAAGTCCCCTAACCCTCCAAGTAGAATCCTGATACCGAGCGTTTATGGAACCCTTCTATCAACAAGGTCAGCGTGCCTTCTGTGGCTGCAATGGTGTCCCAGCTACGGGGAGGAGGACGCGGAGCCACTCGCCGCAGCACATGTTGAGCGCTGAGGCTTTCTCTACAAGGGCTACAGGGTTTAGCTGTTACTAACCAGTGGTGTTTGGGGTTTCCTTGGCTCTTTAGCTCCTTATTTGATAGGGACTATCATCATCCCTGGCTCCTTAGCTCCCCCAATATCAATGGTGAGGTTAGGAGGTTTAGAGCTTAGGATTGAGGTTTTAAATCTTAATTAATTGGCTAGGGTGTGACTCCTATAATCCCCAAACCCTTGACAACAAGGTGGCACGTGGGAGTGGGCATCGCTGACTGCACTGGTCCTGCAGCAGAAGTCGTCGCTCGGAAGACAAAATAGGGCTTGGGGCTTACAAGGGCCTAGGATTTTGGGCTTAGCAGGGCTTAGATTTCAATTTTTCGAGTTGTTCATCAAGTTGCGCTGTTTTTGGTTGTTGACTGGGGGTTTGGGGCTAAAGGGTTCGGGATTCAGGGTTAGGGGGTTCATGATTTGGGGTTCGAATGCCCCCTACTTCCCTGAGCACCACAAGTTTAGGGGTTTCGGGTTTGGGGTTTAGGGATATAACTTCGTAGCTGAGTGCCCTTTAAGGATAATACTACCCGCTATAAAACGAAAAGTGTACACACTTGGGGGCTTATGAACTCAGCAACTACCATAATACGGCCACCCTCACGAGTAGTATCACGTGAGATTGCGGGACGTTGAGCATTCCAAGCTTGTTACTAGTATTGGCGAGCCATGTCGAAAGACCCTTAATCTATCCTGGTCGATAGATGTCCACAGTCAGCCTAAACCCTTCACCCAAAGCCCGAAACTTGACAGTTTAGAGGTTAAGTTAAGGCTGTTAATGTAGATTTAAATCCGCGGTGCATGGTTGAGGGTTCGGGATTTCGTGGCGAAACACGGCGCATTTTTTTCCACTCATGCTCCCTTGCAGGAGCCAAGGATCCGAACTTTGAGGGTAAGGTCCTAAACCCTAAACCCGTAACCTTGAGCATGAAAGGCTTACCGCCTCGGGTTCACAGAAGATTCTGTTGAGTTCATGTTGATCTTTTATCCTAGACGTCTAAGCCTTAGTCTTTAACTTTCTTGCGGCTGTAACATCCCTATATTTTCCTAGAGGGTACCTTCTGTTCCCCTAAACCCGTATTTTTGAATCGTTACGGTTGGTGATATAAATCCTGCATTGCCTATAATAAGGAATATACCATCATGACCATACTTCGGGTTCCTTCTGGTCATGCAGGATTTTTATCATCAGCCGTAGTACACTCCCCCCCCGAGAAGCCCGAGGCCCTTCTCCCTTCCGGGCCTTCTCGGCCCGACCAGAGTCCGAAACCCCTGGCGGAGCTCAAAACGTAGAGCCTTGGGAGGCCCAGGGATCCTACGGTTGATGATATAAATCCTGCATTACCCATAATACGGAATATACCATAAATCCCATAGTCTAGGGTCCTTAGGGTAATGCAGGATTTGTATCATCAACCGTACTATACCGGTCGGAATAATACAGTAGCTACTGCAATGGCATCTCTTTGCAGCCCTTAGTATCTCTCCAGTATAATATGCCCCAGCCAGCTATTCTAGTTATTGCGGCGGCCCCAATACAGTCAACCGCACAAGAACCTACCAAACCATGTGAAGACCCTCCCAAACCCTAAACCGTAATTCCTAAACCCATATCCACCACAAGGTGATGATGGGCTATGCAGATAACGAGCACAAAACTGCCGGCATCCACATGCGCAGCTTGGCCTTTGGCTGTTCCACAGAGTCGAGGGTTTAGGGCTCAAAGGTTCTAGGGCGCTGGATGTAGATCGGGGTCTAGGGCTTTCGGGTATAGTTATAGGGTGTAGGATTTAGGCGCAGGCATACTTGTTCTAGATGTTTACTGGCAGCTCAAGAATGTTTCGGGCCAAGGACTGGGAAGACGGCCTCAGAAGTTGACTACCGAGCAATCTTGTGTCGAACATGCGCCCTTAAACACCTCATAGAAAGCTATGAAAGCCCTGAGAACCTTAGATGCTTCAACAAAACCCGAAATACCTTGAACCCTAAGTCGTGAATCTCAAAGCCCGAAGCCGTCCCTATAACTCTAAACCCCCAACACCCTATAGATCCCTTTAAGGAACCCTATAATCAGATCCCTTTAAGGAGCCCTTTAAGAGCCCTAACTGACTAAGTCCCCGATGCTCCAAGTAGGCCCTAAACCCTATAGATCCCTTTAAGGGACATGGGAGTTTCCGAAAACAGGGGACCCTTATATAGTACCCTAAATAGTAGGATCCTTATTATAAGGGCCCCCAAATAAGGTATCCCTGCTTTCGGAAACTCCCGCATCTCAGGCCTGCACGCACGAGCGTTCGTGTTCCTCAACCCCCAGACGCAGGAGCGAGTTGCCTTTGCGACCCGGCGCCGTCGGGCTCAGGGCTTACTAGGCATCCCTTTTTTTTTTTTTTTTGGGGGGGGGGGGGGGGGCTTAAATAATTACCTATACTATTTTGGGGGTTCCTTGTTATAACTATAGTATAATGGGCCCCAAACCCTATTCTAATTATGAAGGCACCTATTATTTCACCCCAAACCGTACACCCCTAAACTACGGTGCAGGGTTTACGGTCTTCGGTCGTCGGGTTTAGGGTTTACAAGGGTGGTAGGGTCTAGAGGTCTTCAGGTGTAGCGTTTTGAAGGCTTAGGGTTCAGGGTTCTGGGGTTTAGGGCTCATAGACTGCCCCTCGTCGTCTCCGTTACGAACGCCTTAGGGTTTTGGGTTAAGGGCTTTAGGGGTTGGGGTTGGGTCTAGGGCTTTACTTCTGGGTTAGGGTTGGGTTTGGGGCTTTAGGGTTAGGGTTGGGCTAAGGGCTTCACTTCTGGGTTAGAGTTGGGTTTAGGGCTTGAAGAGGTACGGTTTAGGGTTCATTCGGATGTCTTACTTGGATGGTCGGGGGACTTTGTAACTGGTTATTTTAAGTACCATAACCCCAATTAGAGTCCCTTTTAGGGTACTTATAAGTCTACTTACTACCTACTTACTAAGTCCCGCGACCCTCCAAGTAAGGCCCCTCCCGGCCTCCGAGGTGAACGCGGACACGTGGGCCGCCACAGAGGCTGTCATCCAGGGGGTCGAAAATCGCCTGCACCAGTGGTTCGGAGGCGCTGGCAGGGTTAATATACTTGGAAGGTTCATGGCGGGTTATATGTGGGGTTATAAGTACGGTAACTATAGTTATATACAACCCATATTGGGGGACTTATAACCCCACTTAAAACTACCCATGAACCTCCAAGTAGGGCCTGAATCGACAGAATAGGCCTTGGGGTAAAGTATACCTCAGCCCAGAATAACCTACCTTTTTAAGGACTTGTAAAAGGAAATCATAACTAGGAACCCTGAAAAGGTAGGTTGCTATCGGGGTTAAGGTATCGTCTAGCATGAGTATAGTAAGGAACCTTGCAGAGCAATACTGCTGCTTAACTGGGCTTTGGAGTACCATACTTTAATACTTTTTTCTTAAAGGAACCCTTATGAAATAAAAGTTTATACTTTTTTTCCCTGGTTACCTAAAAGCCCAGTTAACGGTACACCCTAAATCCCAAACCCGAAACCGTTACATTTCGAGCTTTTGCAGGGCAGGGCGGGAGTTCAAGGGCTTCCGTTGTAGGACTCTCGGGGTGTAGGGGTTTTAGTGTCTACTATGTCATAGTTGGGCAACATTTTGCATGTTTATGCGTACTTAAATTTAAGCCCGATATTTGAATGGAAGTTTGGATGCTTATTACTATTCCAACGATGCGCTAGTGTAGGGTTTAGTGTTCTAGGGTGCGTTGAGATGATTTCGGACGTTGACGAGCCACGGTTTCGCTTTTTGTGCGGATTCTGGTCGGTTGGTCTTCAAAAGTTTGCAGTTTGAACCCTAAACCCTAAGCCCTGAGAGCAAGCAGAAGGATACCACGAAGGTCAAGCAGAACCGAGTGACATCATCTCCATCATCTCGACCCCTAGCGGACCTGTGCTTGCCCCGAAGCCCAAGCAGTCCGCTGGCAAAAGTAGCAAGCCCGAGGTTCCGGAGGAGGCATGCAGCATGGAAAGCGGCCGCGCAGGATGTGTGTGCTGCCTGAGCTTTCCATGCCGGACGTGCAACTGGGCGATGCATGGGCATGCTTACATCACAGGTTGCTGCTGTTGCGGCTGTTGTACGGAGCCTTCAATGTAAGAAGTGCAACTGTTTCGCAGCACGCATGCCCATGTGACGAAGACATGCGCGGCGGAGCGGGGTATCAAGGCCAGCCACATCGTTACATTCGTGACAGTTGGCAACAACAAGTCGATCACCCACCCTGTCAGCCAAAAGCTTTTCAGAAGCTTCTGGGTTCATCGAGTACCAGCGCGATCCGGCGAACAAGATCTCCTCCGACATCGTAAAGGAAGACGAGTGCAGCATGTTTTACCCGGTATCCCTCTAAGCGCCGGTGACTTTCCAGCTGTTCAGGACCTGGAGTTTAAGGGCATCGGAGTTTAGGGTTTCTTTTGTTCGGTTTGCTTATGGTACAGGTGTTAGTTGTTTTGATGGGGGTTAGGATGTTAACGTTTTTGCTTTAAGGTTTAGGTTGTAGGGTTAACCGTTAGTCATAAGAAGGTAGGAAACGTAGTAGTCCTTCAACCCTAAACCTGAAACCGGGTGTTGTTTGGCACTCCGAAGCTGTACTGCAGTCGGCGCTCTACAGAAACCTATGCTCTCAGCTTGTCGCACCCACCCCAAACCCTAAACCCTAAACCTTCAACCCTAAACCTTAAACCCCAACCTAAACTCCAACCCAAACGCAAAGAAACCTTAAACTCCCTAAACCCTAAACCGTAGGCGGCGGTTTGGCAACAGGTGCTCTGATCCGATCTTGGAGATCATCTCCGCGAATCCCAAATACAAGTGCTCTCAACCCCATACCCTACACCCTACTAAAGCCTTGAGAGCCTTGAAGCCTAACTCAAAGCCTAAACCCTAAGCCTCAAACCTTAAAATCCTTTGTCCCTGCCCTAAATCTGAAAAGCCTTAACCCTTTCACACCTACCGTTCAGGCTTCGTGGTGAGCTTTTGGAAAGTTCCTTTGTAGGGGCCAGGGTTCAGGGTACAGGGTGAAGGGCTTAGGGAAGAAAAGACTCTTAACATATGTTTTTTTGTTGGTCTTTCGCTGTTTTTCGTGCAAAAACATCTGGACCCTTCTATAGCTCAACTCGGTTTTGGGCCTTAAGCCCTGAACCGTTCTAAACCCAAAACTTCTTTTTCAAGAAAACACACATCGAACTCCCTGCACCATTCAGGTTTACGGGCCAAGGGTGAGGGTTACAAGGCTCAAGGTTCAGGGAGCCAGGGCCCTGAACCCTAAACTCTAAACCTATAGCGAAGCCCAAAAAGTTGGAACATGGATTTGGGATAGTTAGTGCGAGGATTGCGTATACACATGATGTTCCAACATTCCGGTTTCTACTGTAAGCCGAACGAAGACCCCCCCACCCGAAGAGCTCAAGCCCTCAACACCTACTCCGATTCAGTTTGGAGTGTAGTCTTCCAAAGGATGTTAAGTACCACATAGTAGGAACTAGGAACATCCTTCAAGACCTGAGATTCTAGGATTTAGGGGATGAAGTTCTCCGGCGTACTCTTTGAACCCCGCAAGGGCGCCACTACAGTCGCGACAACTTGATAGTCGCAGGGTCGCACACGCACCGTGGCACATCACATGGGGCTTACATTAAGTTAGGGAGTCGTCGTGACTGTACATATAAGGTTTGTTTCCTTGTTTAGTTTTGGGATGTTTTCGGTGTTTGCACCACTTGCTCCGGTGAAACGACTCAACGGATTGCTTGTGTTTTTTGGTGTCGGTATCCAAAAACTTATGTGATTCCACGCGGGCTAAACTCAATGGTTCTTCACAACAAAGACCTACCCCTCCATGAGAAACCCCAACAGCAAATCCCAACCAGCAAACCCATGGCCTAAATCCTAAACTTTGAGGTATTCTAGGATTCTAGGACCTAAGACCTGAACCGTATGCCCGGCCCTAAACCCTAACGTATCATAAGCACTAAGACACGCCAAACTCAGTGCTAAGCAAGTGAAAAGCTACCGATACAGGTAGGTCCTTTGCAAATAGAGGCTGGGACAGATAGAAATAGTATCAGGGTATCGCCTTATAGTAGTTAAAGCAACCATGATGTACCCCCAAACCCTATTCTTCTTCTGCATATTTACTCATTCCCCGTACTAGGAACGCTTATAGAAAAAGTCTAGAGGCCTTAATAAAACCCTTCGAGGAGTCCTCTTCCAGATATCAAGACCCCAAAATTAAGCGATGAACTCCTTCACCCGGAAAGCAGTGTCAGAAGTCTGTCTAGGCATAGAAGTTTGAATAACATGCCGGGTTTCTGGCTGCAGCGCTGATAGATCAGAGCAGGTTTGGGGTTATGGGTTTGGGTGTCGGAATACTGCTCAGCATCATCATCCCATGTACAGTTACAAGAAAGTATACCCCAAAGCACCATTTTAATCAAGGCTCCCACAACATAGACTCCAGTATAGTAGCCCTTGCGGTAACCCTTCTCAGCGGACGCTTGGATGCTTTAAGGCTTTAGCAACGTCGCAAACAAAACAGCAAGCCTTATGGCACCCCTTTACAGGACCCTGCAAGGACCCCCGTGAGATCTCAAAACCTAAGGTTGTAAGGGTTCTAATGTAGGAACCTGATTAAGAAACCTTGGGTACGAATCCTAGTATTTTAGGATAATAGGCCCAGGGTTTCTTAGTCAGGTTCCTACATTACCCTGCAATCACAAGCAGTCATAACCTACTGTTTTACATAAGGTCCCTAGATTTTCGAGGCGTGTCGGCCTGGTGTTTGGGGTCTGCATATCCGGCGGAAAATGAAATCTTCGCTTCTAGGGTTTGGGGTAGGGAGAATGGAATCTGAGTCTGTAAGTATAATTGCCGTGCGTACGGCACCTAAGCTAGTGCCCGAAACCTGTAACGCTAAACCCCGGGCTTCTTCACTTCACTGCGTAGAGGTACTAGTCCTGTGCAACAAGAGGCGGCCCCAAAAGTCAACAGCAGCGAGCTGCCGATGACGGGCCTGGAAAAGCGGGGAAGCTTACAGCCCCTAAACATGCAAAAGTGAAACGCGCCACGGGCCCGCAAGGAGCACACAGGTGCTCGACAAGCGAGAACGCCAAAGGCGAAACCCGTGCGGAGCAGAGACAAAACCGGGAGCAGGGGCTCACATCAGATCGAGGCCCCGGCTACGACCGGCACCGGCGGCACCAAAGTGCACTGAAACAACTAAGCCAGCAAGGGACCTGCCCACACAATGCGAACATATCCCAAAAGTGAAACGTAGAGCCAGGAGCCCGGTCACCCAGCGAGCCGAAGCGCGAGCGACAAGGGAGCAAAGCGAGACACACTACAAAGCCAGAAGGCAGGAGCACAAGCTATGCATGCTCGACTGCCTCACCAAAAACACAGTCCAGGACCTACTGCAAAGCCGAAAGCGCTGCAGTAGAGCCTCCTCTCACCAGAAGCTAGTGTTCCTCGTGGGTGGGCCGCGGCAGAGTCACTATAAGTCAGAGCGGAACGTCAAATAAAGTGACAGCAAGACGGCCACAACAAACAAGGATCAGTGCCGGTGTTCTCCAAAAGGGACGCCAGCACTGAGCCCCGTCGTCGACCTGCAAGACAAGACGCTGAAACAGCCGACAAGCCAGGGTCAAAACTAAGGAGCTGACTAACACGCCCTAGGCGCAAGCAGCGGAAAAGCCACGCAGATCGGCAAGACCAGAGTCCAGAAATACACTGCACCGGGAAATAGCCGAAAACCTGTAACCAGATCAGAATAACTCCAGTGAACACGTCCACCAGCAGCGCTGCTCAGAGCAGCTGTAAGGTACCTGAGGCCGCCCTCAGGGTCCCGCGTACAAGCCACAGTACACGAGAAGTCGTGACCACGCCGAGGTGGAGCACGGGCGCTAGCAATGGCACGAGTGCGGTACTAGCTGGGGTCTGGTATAGTAGTATCTGCAAGAACGGCGAAAGCCGAACAAGCAGAAAACTACCTCGAGCCGAGACACCTTAAACCCCGGGCGCCCAATCCTAAACTCCAAACCTTCAAAACCCTAAACCGTTTACAACTTCGAACCCGCAAACCACCCCTAACCGGAGCTTCAAACGAACTTCAAACCCCGTAAGCCCTAAACCCTAAGCAAGTAAAGACCCTAAGCCCTAATTGAAAGCCCTAAACCCTAAACCCCAAACCCTAATTGAAAGCCCTAAACCCCTAAACCATAAAGCCCTAAGCAACGCAGCCGAGGCACCACGGTCCCGCAGGTGCCTTGCAGCTGTCAGTTCCGTTCCAAGAAACTCCAAAATTTCGTAAGTGGGGCATGTGCCATCAATCCATTCTGAAGGGTTTGGGGTTTAGGGGTTCAGGGGTTTAGGGGTTTAGGGGTTTAGGGGCTCAGGGTTTAGGGTTTAGGGTTCAGGGGTTAGGGTGTAGGGTTTTGTCGTAAGTTAAATACACAGGGGGGTCCTTCATAGAACTAACGGTACATCCTTAGTTAAGCTCTAGGTCCACTCCGGTGATAGGACTACCGGCGCTGGGCCGGGGTTTCGGATTCAAGGTTTCAGAATCCAGGGCTTTGGGTGTAGGGTATGATGGATCCCTAACCAAAGGGCTAGAACAGTATCCTAACTTTAGGCCGCTGCAAGACATGGAGCTTCGTTCATCGAGGTCTCATTGAGGTTCAGGTTTTGGGGGTTTGGGGCGAGAGTTCCGTGCCAAGCTGCCAAACTAAAACCCTAAGCCTACGCTTTAAATCCTAAACCTTAGAGAGAGCCGAAACCTCCCAGACCTTCCAAAACCCCTTAATTAAGGAATATACCTTAAAATATAATAGGATCCCTAATATGATTTAAGGTATATTCCTTAATTGAAGGGTTTTGGAGTCTCTGGGCTTTAAGCACTAGACCCTAACCCCTAATTCGCTTAACCCCAAATCCTAGACCCGAGACCCTTGAACCTATAGATCCTAAACTCCGAGCCACTACGGGATCTCAACCCCTAAACCCCTAGCACCCCGAACCCAAGTGTCAAGCTTGATGTCTGCCCATACACTCTAGAACCTCGGGCTCAAACTCTTTAACCTGGAAAGGGTTTTGTATCAGGGCCAAGAGTCAAGCCACAACCCTAAGTCTTAAACCCTGAAGCCTCCAAAGAGAGCAGGCGCCAGTGCCTACTACCTCTTCCAGTTTTCCTCCTTTGGCTATGTGGAGCAATCCTTGACAAGCCTCGTCGATGGCATATCCGAGGCAATTGGATGGATGTAGGATTTAGGATTTAGGGGTTTAGCGCTTTAGGGTTTGGGGTTTAGGGTTCAGGGTTCAGGGTTTAGCGTTTTAGGGTTTGGGGTTTAGGGTTTAGGGTTCAGGGTTTAGCGTTTTAGGGTTTGGGGTTTAGGGTTTAGGGTTTTGGGGTTTAGGGTTTAGGGGCTAGCACAGCCTTCCCGTTTTGTCTTTATGCATTCCTTGCTTGTGTACATCCCCTTCTCCTTCTATTGCGAATAGTGGATGCCTGTTACAGTCGGCATGGAGGGAGGCAGGTTTTCTAACCAGGGGTCTACATAGAGTCTGCATAAGTCGTGGCTTCGCGATTCTGATGTTAGGGGTTTTACAGACTCAGGGTTTTGAATTTTGGCTCCAGGATGAGATTTGAGGGTTCAGGTTTTAGGGGCTTGGCTGTGGGTGTACCGGTTTTGCAGGGTTATCAGGGTCGCTGCGGTGTTTCGTCAGGGGGTTTGACTCGTTGACGTTTGGAAAGGGGCCCTCACTAAGAGCGGATACACATGTCTGAATCTGGCTTCTGCGGGTATGAGCACTCCTGCAAGTGAAGCCTCAACTTCAAAGCTCAAGGATTGAGTGGATGCTTAGAATCGAAGCCTGATTAGGCAGTAATGCTTTTCCATCGGATCCCTCTTGATATTACAGTACGACATTCCCCGAAGACACATCCAACTTGTTAGGGCCCCGGTACTACGTCCAGGTGCTGACTGTGGTCCCCGCGGGCTGAGTTTCGACCCTAGAATCCAGACCTTCCAAAATCCCTTGGCTATGGAACATGCCTTAAACTATAATAGGATCCCTAACATGATTTAAGGCATGTTCCTTAAATTGGGTTTTTGGAAGGTCTGGGAATTTGCAGCCTTCTCTGGACCTTAACGGAACGGACCTCTTGAACGGTTTGAATTATGGCGTTCTAACAATAAGAGCAAGGCTTGAGGTCTCTTATAGTACAGTGAATAGTCATGCTAAGGAATAAGACCGGCTTGTATATTTCCCAACCCCCGAAACCCTAAACCGTAAACCCTCAACCCGGTACCCTAAACCCTCAAACCCTCAAACCCTAAAGCCCTAAACCCGCCAACCCTAAACCCTAAATCCCTGAAGCCCTAAAACCCTAAACCCTCAAACCCCAAACCCTTAAAGACCCTAAAGCCCTAAAACTCACCTGGCAGCCGGGAGCCCCCAAAAGTTATAGGATCCTTAAGGGGGGGGTGGTTCAAGGTGGGAGGGTACAAGGAATCCTTAGGGGAACCTTAGGGAGTACGCGGGGGAGTTAGGGATCACTAGGCTATATACCCCCCTTGGAGCGCCCTCCCTTAAGGAGACAAAAAAAAGGGCGGCCCGATGCCCATTTCCGATCTTATCCCTCATCATAACCAGTCACTCTCTAAGCCCTAAACCCACCAACCCTGGACCCTAGAGCCCGAATTTCGGAAAGCCTAAAACCCTAACAGCCCTACCTTAAACCCTGAACCCTCGACCCGGAACCCTAAAAGCGATGCCCATTCACTTATTCCTCACCATAACTAGTCACTTCCTAAGCCCTCAACCCTAAACCCTGAACCCTAAAACCCAAAACCCGATGCCCATTCACTTATTCCTCACCATAACTAGTCACTTCCTAAGCCCTTAACCCTAAACCCTGAACCCTAAACCCATGACGCATGTGCAGACGGAAAAGAGCCCATAAAACAAAAAAATAACCCTAAACCCAAAACCCGATGCCCATTCATTTTAGGCGGTCTGGCTTGCGCATCACAACGTCAAGCCGGCCAATGCGCCTCGGCCCAGGGTTTGGGGTTTAGGGTTTAGGGGTTTAGGGGTTTTAGGGGGTTCCTTTAAAGGGATATACCCCTAAGTCCCCTGAGGGTTCCTATATGGGATCTACAGGGTTTAGGGATTAGGGTTTGGGGTGTAGAGGTTTAGGGTTTAGGGCTTAGGGTGTAGAGGGGGTCTAGCAGTTGTATTTTTGTGGGGATTGTGCAGATTTTTGGTAATGTAGGAACCTGATGAAGAAACCCTGGGCCTGTAACCCCAAAAGAATAATTGATCATAATAAAGGCCCAAGGTTTCTGAATCAGGTTCCTACATTAAAAGGTATGGTCATGTTGCAGAAGGGTTTTCAAACGGTTCCTAGATGGGGGCAATCAGGGCTTTTCATATGGGTGGTTGTCAATTATGGTCCCTTCAAAGGTCCCCTAAAGATTAGGTGCCGTGCTATGTTTGTTTGACAACCACCCATACTGAGTTTGAACAGGGATTTCAGGCTCCCTGAGAGCTGCATGCCCCTTCGGCCGTACCGTAGGAGCCTAAACAGTTACCTATACTATCTTGGGGGGTTCCTTATCATAATTTTCGTATCATGGGCCCCCCAAAACCCTGTTCTAATTGTTAAGGCCCCTAGATGTACTTAAACCCTAAACCCTAATCCCTAAACCCCTAAACCCCTAAACCCTAAACCCCTAAACCCTAAACCCCTAAACCCCTAAACCCTAAACCCCTAAACCCCAAAGCCGCACTATCTTACGCTAACTTAGGGAGGCTTCCTTTCTGGCCCGGAAGCTTCAAACGCTGCCTTTCAAGAGGGTTTAGGGTTTAGAGTTTAGGGTTTAGGGTGACGGTTTTGTGATCATAGGAGGCCAAAAGGAGTTTTAGCCTATGGAGGTCTAGTAGGGATTAGAGTTCCCATAGAAGGGTTCATATAAAGGAACCCCTACCCCAAGAATCTCAAACCCCCCTTATGGCCTCCCATCATGTGAGGACTATTACTATATTATACCATTCGTTTAATGTAATTGTTAATATGAATATTACTACTTTAACAACTATCTAATCGCTAAGGGGTTGAGGTTTTTTGTTACAGTGCGGGGCCATGGTTGGGTTTTTGTATTTATCCGAGTGTTCAGGTCTTTCGGATCTTGAGCCCTGCAGGGTTTTCGGGTCTCAGCCTTCAGCATTCAGGTTGCTTTGAGCAACTGGAGTTTAGGGCGTTCAGGGTTTAGGGTTTAGGGTTTAGAGGCGTTCAGGGTTCAAGGTGGAGGGTACAGCTACTTAAAGTTAGAGGCAGTCAGGGGACAGAAGGAGGTAGGAGCAGTAAAGTAATCTTCAGGCAGCTGTAAGCCTGCCTAGCCTGCTTACCCGGTCCCAGTCCTGATCCTGTGAGTAGCCCTTTAAGAGCACCTCCAAATCGCGGTGCATTGAACCCACAGCCCCCGGACTTGGGTCCTTGTCAGACGATTGTGTTCAGTTTCCATGGTGGTGATATCTAGATGGAATCTCCAAGAAAGGACTTCGTTCTCCACACCCAATCAACCAGTACAAGTCTTTAAACCCCAAAGCCCCACACCCTAAACCTCTATACCCTAAGCCCTAAATCTTTATAAACGAAGGTTACAATCAACAGCGGCATGGTCGACAACAGCACGGTCCCGGGCTGCCCGATGCCGCATCTTGCAAGCCTACGCCGGGGATGTGGGTTTTCAAAGGGCTCCAAAGGGGGTTTAGGGTTTAGGGCTCCGAAGGTGGGATGAAGGGAGGTGGGAATATGTACGAGTCCTTATCGAAGGGATCCTTAATCCCTAAACCCTAAACCCTAAACCCTAAACCCTACCTACCTTCATCCCACCTTTGGAGGCCTCCAGGGTTTCTGATCCTGGCCTAGGCCATAGGGCTTGGGGCTGGGAGTTTAGGTGCCTTTCTTTAGGGACCCCAAAAACACATAAGCATAAGCAGTTTATGGGGATATCCCTACCTTATTGGGCTTCATCATAAGGGGGTTTATATGGGATATTCCTATCCTAATTTTGTTGCTTACGTGCTTTTTTGGGGCCCTAAATTTTTGGTTCTAGGGTGCTTTACGTGACTCCGGGGATTGCTCCTCCCTGCAACCCTAAGCCTTAGGTACGGCCCCCCATACATTAAGAGTCTCTGATAGGGCTACTAGTATGAATCTTATTCAACTATTACTGAGTGGGGGCCGTACCCAACCTAAGCCCGACTAAGGGCTCCTTGAGGTCTGTGGTTCCGTAGCAATTATTTAAAGGTTCCTTGAGCTTGCTTGCGGATCTCTGTCTAATTCTGATTGATGAGCACACAACCAACCCCGTTCCAATTATTCAGGCCCTTACATCAATTCGACTGAACTTGATCAGACACAAGGCCTCTAAACCCTAAGCAGTAAGCCTTAAACCTCAAGCCAACAAGCCCACCGATCCCTTGTAGAAGCCTTTATACGCCACATGGAGACTTAAAACCCCCGAGGTTTTTCCGGCATATTCAGATTTAGGGTTTAGGGTTCATTGTTGGGTATAGGGTTTATGGTTGCTAGTTTACCCATTTTTTGGGCTTTCCGAACATCCTCATTATTACAAGCCCTGTACCCTTAGTAACCACAAACCCCAAACTTCAAACTGAATAGAAAGTAAAGGTGATGCCCTCCTGATTAACGCCAAACCCACAACTGAACAGTTGGTGTATTCCCAAGCACAGGCCCCGAACCCTAACCTTAGTAGTTGAGTAGGTAATTTTGGGGTAGTATGACCAACCCTAACCCCTAAACCCCTAATTAAACCCCTAAATCCCTAAACCCTAAACCCAAAGTCCTTTACCCAAAAAAACCCGAAGTCCCAACACCCCTAAACCCTAAACTCAAAGCCCCTAAACCCCAAAAAACCCAAAGTCCCTAAAACCTATGACTTAGAAGCTGCCCCCACCCTGTAATAGTGGTATAATAGGAATATAATAGGGCCCTAATATAATCCTATATAATCCTTATGGTCACTATTACAGGGTGGGGGCCCCTTCTAACCTATGATTATCCTAACCCTTCTATGGTAAATTATAAGGTATCCTACCATGAAGCCATATTCCAACTTTCTGGAGTTCCCTGTATGACCCCTTTAAAAAATACCAAAGGCGAGCCTTGACTGGGCACGGAAGTCGTTCTAAATCCTCACGGGGAGCCCAGAGGCTCCAACACCCCTTCATTAATTTAGGGGTTTAGGGTTTAGGGTTTAGGCCCTTAAGGAACATATATATATATATATATATATTTATGTATATGCCTTACATCATAATGGGAACCTTAATGGGATTTAGGGTATTTTACTTAATTAAGGGGTTTTGGAGTCTGGGAAGCCAAGGAACTGCGCCAGCATCAATCGCAGCCCGACATCCTTCCTCCACAACCCGGAGGAGGTTGTGGGTTGTGAAAGGCTTTAGGGTTTAAGTAGGTTTTAGGGGTTTACGGTTCAGGGTTTGGGGTTTTCAAAGCCTTTAGGGTGTTTGCGAATGTCGGTGGTTTAGTGCATTTAGGGATTGGGGCTTAAGCAGAGTGATTAGTCGTGTTTTGCTTGTGTCTTTCCCAATTCTCGCCAACAACACGTTGCTCACCTTCCAGGCGGATTTGTGTTTATGGGTCCCCGAGGCTGTTACAGGGTTTTGCTGTGAGTGGCGCATCCCTGCAGGATCGCAAGCAGTACTTCGGCGACGATAATCTGGAAGCTCGGAAGGGTCTTATTTGTTGTTTGAGGGGGCTTCAGGATTCCTGCTTAACTTCAGGTTGATTCGGTTCCCGGCCTCTTAACCTTATGCGCTGAACGACTCCAGGCACAAAGCCCACCTTCAGCTCTAACTCCCTTTTCGCTTCTAAGGGTGAACAAACCCTCTGCCCTTTAGCCTTCAACCCTTGACCTTCAGTCCCAAATCCTATAGCCGTTACAGTAACCCATACAGAACCCCTGTTAAGGAACCCTTAAACGGGCTTTGAAGGGTCCATTCAATTCTTTTTTACATGAACTTCAACCTCCGCCTTCACCAAGCCCTTGAAAGAACTGTGCAGGAACCCTGGAAGGCAAAGCCGAATGCCTGAACCCTAAGCCTTAAACCTTAAAAACAAAACCTTAAACCCGAAACTAAACCCTAAGCCTTACACTTTAAAAGACCCTACCCCTTAACCCCTAAAGCCCTGAATCCTAAACCCGAAACCCTGAGCCCTCTTTAAAGCGCTAAGCCTTAAGCCCTAAAGCCCAAAACCCCCTAAACCCTAAACCCTAAAACCCTAAACCCTTTTCGAACCCTTATGGATCCCTTTAGAGGATCCCTTTAAAGGAACCCCTTAACCTTAAACCTTTAACCTTTTTAAGGAGCCCTAAACCCCTAATGTAGGAACCTGATCAAGAAACCCTGGGCCTATAACCCCAAAAGTACCCTTATAGATCTCTTATCGTAACCCTTCTAAGGCCCTGAAGCCCTAAACCCGGGGACCCCTGAACCTTGAGGACCGCGAGATGCCTTTGGTCAAGATCGTGGACGCACACACCGGCCGCTTGTCTTCGGGTTTTCCCCAGGGTTTAGGGTTTAGGGTTTTCTCGGACATTATAGGGTGGTTTATAGGGCATTGTGTAGGGTTGTAGCGGGGTTTATGGGGTTTCAAGGGTTTTTAAAGGGTTGAGTGTAGGCCGCTGGTCTTAGGGTTTAGGGACTTTGGGTTTAGGGGTTTAGGGGTTAGGGTTAGTCAACCTTCTCGTTTTGCTGATTTTGGTAGGGAATGATGCAGGAACCTACAGACTACAGAGGAACGGAAGGCATCCATCCATAGGTTCATGCATGCACGCATGCACGCATGCAGACATACATATAGCCTTCATATAACCAAGGTTTGGGATACTGGGTCTGAGTGCTGGTAATGAAGACTCAGCATAAAGCCCGATAAAACACAACATAAGCCTGCGCAGCATACTGCACAAGGACAGCCCATGGGTGTGCTGAACTGGTTCGCAGTGCACACGACCTCCATGAACAGCGACTTGGACCACGGCTTATGGTCTGGGTTCAGGGTTTTTGTGCTTTTGGGCTAGGGCCTGGTGTTTGAGGACAAGGAACGGGGGTTTACTTCTGCGGTCACCCAGACAACTCAATAGCATGCTTGATCGTTCGAATGCGATAGGGACCCTACAAAAGGTCAAAGTGCAAGCCTTTGCAGCTTGGCGGCTACTATTCTTGTTATTATGATCATAGTTATTAGTCTGGTCATGTTTTAGCATCATTATTGTTGTTATTCTGGTTCTTTTTATGAGTGTTAGCATTGCTATCTTTGTTGGTGTTACCCGCCAAAGGGTATCACACTCGGCCATATCGGACGGTGACAGGGATGAAGTCTAGGTCAAGGGCACATTTACCACCACCGCCATTTGGAAGTTTCTGAGAATTAGGGCTACTGTACCTTATGTCGGGGTCCTTATAATAAGGATCCTACTATTTAGGGTTACTATATTAGGGTCTCCTGCTATCGGTTACTCCCTTTTTCATGACAGCGCAGATGACCTGTGAAGGGCAGCCGCATGTGAAGATGTCGCATCGAAGGCAGCGGTTGCAGGGGCGTCTGGAAACATGCGCTGGCGGATCAGTTCTTTTGCTAGTTCCAAGGGTAGAAGGAGGGACCCTTAATGAGGACCCCTAGGTATATACCTTTAATATAGCTATTATATACCCATTGTATAGCCCATTATAGGGTAGGGGTCCCCAATGATGGTCCCTCCTTTCCCCTTTGACGAGTGTCTACACCATCAGAACATGGTCCTCTCAGTGTCTCCCTCTCGTGATTCCTTTTTGTCGCCTTTTTGTGCATGGAAGAATCTGTCCGACGTCCAGAAGCCGAGCTATCTATGTTGCTAGAGGCAGCAAGAGATTGGCAAAAGCATTTTAAACCCTGAACCCTAAACCCTGCACCCTAATTAAACCCTTCACCCTGAACCCCAAACCCATAAAGTGACGGAAACAGGAGTAAAAAGCAAAACTAAAGACTAAACTCTAGGCCCTAAACCTTCAGAATATGCACAGCCACAGAACATGGTCCATTTCCCAGAATCAGAGTCAGTGAACACGGTTTAGGGTTCAGAGTTACTAAGGTTTAGGGTTCAGGGTTTAGGGGTTTAGGGCTGAGGGTTTTGGGGTTCAGGTTTGAGGGTTTAGGGCGGCTGTCGATCGTCTGCACTTGTAGGGAAATGCAGACAAAGTGCCCAGCTGGCCTACTCTTGTCACTTGTGCCTTGTGGCGTTCCGAGGGCTACGGTTTAAGGTGATGAATTTAGATCCCCAATACCCAACCTTTAAACTTTTTGGGTTCTGAAAGTTAAAAAAGTAGGAATCGGAAAAAATTATCCTTCTATTTCTGTGGCTTATTGGGGGAGCAAGTTAATGGTTAAGGTATGTTTTCCCCCCCCCCCTTCGGTTTGCTCCGCTTGGAACTTAAGGTTCTGCAGTTTCGGGTTTAGGACACTGTGCCTTGCCGGCCAAGGTGATCACGATCTCATCTCGGGAGACAACAAAGGTCCGCCGGTCCTTCCGTTCCGTCTGCATGTTGTTCTGTGTGGTCAGAATTTTCTGTACCCCAAAGAAGTACCCTCGACCCTCAACCCTCAGCCCGAAAAGCTAAACCCCTACCCAAACCCGAAAACTTAAGCTGTGCCGCCAACAAGCAGCGAAGTGCTGCCTGCAAGGCGTTGCTGAATACCTTTTCGAACGAGCTGTGAATGGACCGCCCTCGCAGCGCGTCTCCGGGCGAGGTGGACCCCCAAAAATCGGGTTTGCTCTGAGGGTTCAGGGCCAGGGTTTAGGGGGTTTAGGGGTTTTAGGGTTTAGGGGTTTTAGGGGTTTTGGGGTTTAGGGGTTGTAGGGGTTTTAGGGCGGGTGTTTGGGACTAGGGTTTAGGGGATATCAGGCCAGGACCCAAAGGAGGCTTTCAACGACTACTATCGGGTTTTTGCAAAGGTTTAGTGTAGGGGCATGAGTGGGCCCTAAATCATCAGAACAATCAGGGTTTTGGGGGGCATGTTACATTATCAAGATGCAGGGACATCACTTGATCTTCCCCCAAATCTCTACACCCCAAACATTACTACCCTCAAACCCAGAGCCTCCAAAACCCCTTAATTAAGGAATATTCCTTAAATTATAGAAGGATCCCTAATATGATTTAAGGTCTATTCCTTAATTAAGGGGTTTTGGAGTCTCCGGGGACGGGCTGCTCGGATTTTCGGTTGGAAGTTGATACGTTGTAAAACTTCTTATGGGGGACTAGGACCTAGAGTAGGCCCTTATTCCCGAAAGCATCGCGAAGGGTTCTTCCGTGTGGAACGCCGCAGCTGAGTACATAGATGACAGACATAGAATCAACTTACTTGATTCCATACTTTACTCTACACTCTACACTTGATACTTGACTCTACACTTGATACTTACTTACTTACTTGACCCCTATGACTGACTCTCTACACTTGACACTTGACTCTATGATACTTGACTCTACACTTGATACTTGACTCTTTGTTATGCTTACGACTTACTTACTTACTTACTTCAATCTACTTACTAACTTACTTGACACTTGACACTTGACACTGGACTCTATGTTATGCTATCTCTATACTTACTTACTTACTTACTTGACTTGCTTACTTATACTTACTATACTTACTTACTTACTACTTACTCTACTTACTTACTTATACTGACTCTACTTACTTACTTATTATGACTTACTTATGATTACTTACTTATGACTGACTCTCTATGCATCTATGACTTACTATGACTTATGACTTACTCTCTACATCTCGGTATCTTAATATTTCTTTTAAAGGCGGGGGTGGCACCGTCGGGGTCCATCGGGAATGCAACCCTTCCCAGGGATTCGCTCCTCGGGCGTTCAAACGCTAGGTAAAGTGACACATTTTAGGCGCACCGCGCAACCCTTCCCAGGGATTCGCTGCCTCGGGCGTTCAAACGCTAGGTAAAGTGACACATTTTAGGCGCCCGGCGCAACCCTTCCCAGGGATTCGCTGCCTCGGGCGTTCAAACGCTAGGTAAAGTGACACATTTTAGGCGCCCGGCGCAACCCTTCCCAGGGATTCGCTGCCTCGGGCGTTCAAACGCTAGGTAAAGTGACACATTTTAGGCGCCCGGCGCAACCCTTCCCAGGGATTCGCTGCCTCGGGCGTTCAAACGCGAGGTAAAGTTACACATTTTAGGCGCCCGGCGCAACCCTTCACAGGGATTGGAACTCTCGGGCGTTCAAACGCGAGGTAAAGTTACACATTTTAGGCGCCCGGCGCAACCCTTCACAGGGATTCGCCTCCTCGGGCGTTCAAACGCGAGGTAAAGTTACACTTCTTGCGGGCGCCGCGCAACCCTTCACAGGGATTCGCCTCCTCGGGCGTTCAAACGCGAGGTAAAGTTACACTTCTTGCGGGCGCCGCGCAACCCTTCACAGGGTTTGGGTGCAGTTCAATTTTTTTTGCAACCCTTCACAGGGATTTGCATTTTGCAACCCTTCACAGGGATTGGCGTGGTCGGGTGTTCGAACGCGAGGTAAAGTTGCATTTTTTGATTTGCATTGAAATGAATTTTGCAACCCTTCACAAGGATTGGCGTGGTGGAGTGTTCGAACGCGAGGTAAAGTTGCAATTTTTGATGAGCATTGAGAATGAATTTTGCAACCCTTCACAAGGATTGGCGTGGTGGAGTGTTCGAACGCGAGGTAAAGTTGCAATTTTTGATGAGCATTGAGATGAATTTTGCAACCCCTCACAGGGATTGGCGTGGTCGAGTGGTTGAACGCGAGGTAAAGTTGCAATTTTTGATGAGCATTGAGATGAATTTTGCAACCCTTCACAGGGATTGGCGTGGTGGAGTGTTCGAACGCGAGGTAAAGTTGCAATTTTTGATGAGCATTGAAATGAATTTTGCAACCCCTCACAGGGATTGGCGTGGTCGAGTGGTCGAACGCAAGGTAAAGTTACACATTTTGCGGTGCCCCGCGCAATCCTTCATTGAGAGGGATTAGCTTCCTCGAATGTTCTAATCGGAAGGTGTGCAGGTACTGTTGCATGGTCTTTGGGCGCTGCGTGTAACCCTCTGCATGGATTGGCGTGGTCCAGGGTTGAAACGTGTGTGCAAACTACTACTTGTATCCTTTCCGCCGTGCAACTCTCCACAGGGAGTGGCGTGGTCGATTGCAGGAACTTGCATCTCTGCGAGGTGCAATTGGCAACCCTTCAGAGGGATTGGCAGATGCATATATCGATAATATACGCACATATATATATATATATATCTATCTTTCTATCTATCCATATATAGATAGATAGATAGATAGATAATAGATATAATAGATAGATAGATAGATAGACATATATTCATGCGCCTGTACGGCGCGTACGCTGTCTTGCGACGGCGCAACGCGCCGCTGCCTGGCCGATGACCTGCAGGCTCGGAGCTTCTTCCTGCTTTGTAGAGGCTTTCTCCTTGCACACGTTTGACTCGCAGGCTGCCTGGTCGATGACCTGCAGGCTCGGAGCTTCTTCCTGCTTTGTAGAGGCTTTCTCCTTGCACACGTTTGACTCGCAGGCTGCCTGGTCGATGACCTGCAGGCTCGGAGCTTCCTCCTGCTTTGTAGAGGCTTTCTCCTTGCACACGTTCGACTCGCAGGCTGCCTGGCCGATGACTTCTGCAGGCTCGGAGTTTCTTGCTGCTCTGTAAAGGCTTTCTCCTTGCACGTTTGCCTGCCTCGTTTGGCTCGAAAGGCAGAAGAAAGGGAAGAAAGGGAAAACGCGTTGCAGTATTTTGCACACATTGCAGCATCTTACTACACCTAGTACGCTTCCTTGCCTGCCTTGACGCTGTCTTGCGAAAGGGCCGGTGTGGAGATTATTCTCAGCTTATTCTCATCTTCTCAGCTGACCATACTTAGGACAGTTGTTTGCCCGCCTCGACGCTGTCTTGCGAAAGGGTCGGTGCAGACACTTTTGCATTTGAACATACTTGGGACAGTGTTCTGCTTGCCTCGACGCTGTCTTGCGAAAGGGCCGGCGTGGACGCCTTCTTCCATCCCATGGATTCGCGGTTGCAGAAGTTCCGCGCCGGTTATGCCCAGCAGGGCGAAGACTGGCTCCGCACCGAGCTGGACAAGCAAAACCGGCAGGACCTGCGTGGGCTCTGTGTCGCTGCGGGTGTGCAACAGAAGTCTGCCGGGCACACGCTTACCAGAGCGGAGCTGTTGGAAGCTCTATCAGAGAGCATTGCCGGGGAGCAGGCTTCATGGGGAAGCGGCGTTCTTGAGGATTGTCCATGTCAGCTTCGGTTGCAGTGAGGCGTCAGTGTCGTTGTCAGGTGGGATGTATTGTGCTTTGAAGTGAAGTAGTTCTTGCTGTCAGGCCGATGAACCTGCGTCGCAGCGAAAGCTGCAGGAGCTGCGCGCGGGTTATGCCGAGCAGGGCGAAGCCTGGCTCTGCGGCGAGTTGGGGAAGCACGGCAAGGATGAGCTGGTTGGGCTCTGTGTCGCTGCGGGTTGCAATTATATTATATATATATATATATATTTATATGTATAGTATCCATATATTATGCATTTGCCAATCCCTCTGACAAGTTGCCACTTGACCTGTTGAGTCAGGCTCTGAGCCCTCACGCTAGGCGGATCTTGATTAAGCGTTCCCACACACAGGGCATAGAGTGAACTACATCGAGTCAAGTGTATGGTACAAAGATGACTCCACGACTCCGTGACTCTATCTCACTACAACTCTATGACTTTATGACTCATGACCCATGGACTCTATGACTCTTGATTCTGTGACTTTACGATCCTATACACTGACTCTATCTCACTACGACTCTATGACGCTATGTCACTGCAACTCTATGACTTTATGACTCATGACTCATGGACTCTATGACTCTTGATTCTGTGACTTTACGATCCTATACACTGGATCTATCACATAGCCCCACACTCTTCGCTGATGATGCTTTCGGGCCAATTGTCTTCTAGTTCCTGTTTTAGGGTTCAGATTCCCTTATAAGCCCCTTTAAACCAAAAAGGGCACCCTTTTTATTGCTAGGATACTCTTGGGTCTAGGGGAGGCTTTCGGGTTTGGGTTTCGGTTTAGCGGAAGTACTGTTCGGGCCGATGTGGGCAGAACTATTGCTTGGCGCAGGAGTTTAGGGGTTTAGGGTGTAGGGTAGCAGGGTAAGATTGAGGTAGTAGAGACTGTGCCACCGAAAGCTGTAGCACGCGTGGTGGTCGCAATGGCACCGGTTGCAGTAATCAGAACAGGGGTAGTTTTCAAAAGTCACGGTGTTTTTTATCCAAGGGGAAAAAGGAGGGACCCTGAATAAGGACCCCTAGGTATATACCCTTAGTATAGCTATTATATACCCCCACTATAGGGTAGGGGTCCCCATTAAGGGTCCCTCCTTTTCCCCTTTGATTTTAACAGCCAGTGAAGCTGAAACCGTCTTCGCGAATCCTTGGCAGACCCTAGAAACCCCTCAACCCTACTCCCCATAAAGCCCTGCACCCTAAAGCCCAAGCCAGTAAACTCCCAAATTCTAAGATTCAATTCCTAAATCCTAGATCCCATTCCGATTTCCTACATCATACATCCGGCAACCCTAAACCCTAAACCCTAAAAACCCTAAACCCTAAACCCTAAACCTTAAACCCTAAACCCTAAACCCTAAACCCTAAAAACCCTAAACCCTAAACCCTAAAAACCCTAAACCCTAAACCTTAAACTCTAAACCCTAAACCCTAAACCCTAAACCTTAAACCCTAAACCTTAAACCCAAAAACCCTGCATCCGCCAGGGCCTTTCATTGCGGCCTTCGCACAGGGAGCTTCTGGCGTGCTCCGACGTGTTCGTGGTGCTTAGCGCTTATGGGTTGGGTTTAGGGTTTAGGGTTCCTTTAAAGGGATCCATAAGGGGTTTAGGGTTTAGGGGTTTAGGGTTTTAGGGTTTAGGGTTTAGGATTTGGGAGTTTCCGAAAATGAGGGGTACCTTGTTTTGGGGTCCTTATAATAAGGATCCTACTATTTGGGGTACTATATTAGGGCCCCCTATTTTCGGAAACTCCCTTATGGGTTAGGGCCAGAGGGTTGGGTCTGGGGTTAAGGGGTTCAAGGAATTAAATTAGGGCGCAGGGTTCAGGGATTAGGGGATGATTTGTTGGACTTTTACTTAGGGTTCTGTCGAGGCTTACCAACAGGAGTAACGTAAGGGCTAAGGTTCAGAGTTGAGGGGATGATCTTTGTTAGAGTCTTAAATTCATAGGGATCCTTTGGGGTGTAGGGGGGAGGATGTAATTTGTGCACGTGTGAAGTAGCATGTTGTGTGTACGGCATTGTGGCACAAGTGCTCTAACAGGAAAAGGTGCGTAGTTACCGCATGGTACAAGCTGCTTGTTATCACTTGGACGGACATATACAACAGTGCGTGTGTGCAGTGGTTTACAACAACTATAGGTTATCAGCCGTATAGCCTACGGCCTGGTCACAACTGGTTGGTTACAATACAATCAATCAGCGCATGAGCGAACCGGAACTTATTCCTGCAAGTATGGATACAGTTACAAGCACCGTGAACCCTTTACAGCCCCCGGTCACGGGTGGCCATACAGGGAGCGGCGCCCCCGGCTTAGTTTTCCCGGCACCAGCCTCAGTCCAACAATTCAACGTCTTCGCACCACAGTATAGTGTTGAAGTACACGTTAACCAGATCAGACTGGAAGTCGGAGAACTAGAGGCTCAGGCAGAAGCAAGACACAGGCAACACATGCTGACCTATCAAGAAGCATCCGCAATTCACACAGCCGACTTGGAGCACAGAGCAGAACGAAACCACCTTGAAGTGGTAGCAGAACTGCAAGCAGCCTTGGCACAGAGCGAGTACAAGGCGGCAAATCGTGAAAGGCTCCTGTTGTCGGAAATGACTTTGAGTCAAGCGCATTCCTATGATGAAGATCAAAGGTTGCGTCAAGAGTTAGCGGAACTTCAAAACAGCCGAGTCACAGACGCATTGGATCAACATTTGGCGGAATCACGCTTTGCACAGAACCTCGAAGAACAGGCGAGACGGCACATCGAGAATTCCCAGGAAGTCATGGTTGAACAGTTCCAAGCACACTTTGAGTTGTTTAGGAACAGGCAGAAAGAAGAGTATGAGGCGTCCCTTGCTGTATGTAGGGAACAGAATGAAGAGCTTCAGGACAAGTTGGATTCTGCGGAAACTGCACTAGAGAAGGTCTTGGATCAGTACAATCCAGCTACTCCAAAGAGTCAGCCAGTGCCTGCTCCAAGTACCCCTGCAGGACCTTCTGTCGTCCCCAAAGCTCCTCAAGCGCCCATGTTCTCAATGCCGAACGTTATCCCCCAAGGCGCCAGATGTCTGTTCGAGTCAATGAATCCAGGAGGTTTGAATGCTCAGTCCATTCCGTCTGCAACAGCATCTTCAATCCCCAAGGCAGGACCTTCCCAGGCAGCGCCAGGAACAGCGGCCCCTCCAGCGGCCGATTCCGGCACGCCAGGGACGGATGCTTTCAACACAGGTCTCCTAGAGACCCAAATGGCAATCCTTCAAAGCCTAAGAAACATAAGGGGTGAGAGCAAAACCGATGCTGACAAACCCAAAGTGAAAGAAGCAGAGTCTATCAGCCTTCCGGAGTTTCCAAGTCCAGAGTCGTATCGTTCGTGGAAAACGGCAGCTAGGGAAGCGGTCAGGGCAGCATCAGATTCACCTGATGAGGCGTTTAAATGGGTGATGAAGGCCTACGACAAAGACGCATCGCAGGAATCCCTTCGAGACCCCGAGAAATTCCTCACCCTTGACACGAAACTTCTTGCTGCACTCACCAAAGTCGCTAGGGGAGAACTCTCCCGAGAAATCCTCATTTTTAAGGAGACAGAAGCGGCGAAATTCAGGGCGGTACGAGGACGACAGGTGCTCTACCTCTTCGATCAGTACTTCAAGACGAACGAGGAGGTTGGATCACTGTACTCCGTGGAGGACCTGCTGAAAGTAAGGTTAATCAATGACGACCTTTCAGTGTTCATTAGCAACTGGGAATCTGTCATGTCTGGGCTCAGCCACACACCGGACGAAACGACCCTAAGAGACATTTTCCTTCGTGAACTCAGGCAGTCCAAGAGACTAAAGTACGATCTTGAGATTTACGACAGGGCAGCAGAGGGCACGGATCAGCACACGTACAAGTTTCTTGTGAAGTCACTTAAGGATCTTTTGACCCGAGAGCGCAAACGCAAGAACCGTGACCGCATCGCAAGATCTCACGGAGATAAGTACGGTGCCCCTGCCTCAAAGTCTCCGGGCCGAACTTCCAGCCCCTCTTCAAGAGGAGGCCGTGGCAGATCGCAGAGCCCAAGGCCAAGATCACCCAGCAAAGGTAGATCCCAGTCTCCCAGCAAGCCTAGGACACCTAGCCCAAAGGGAGTATGCTATGATTACCTCAAAGGAACTTGCAAGCGAGGCAATAACTGCCCTTTCCTTCACAAGAAGAGATCATTGTCCCCCAAAGGCGACAAACCCAAGAAGAAAATCAACGTGACATGTAAGTTCTGGAAAGAAGGCAACTGCAACAAGGGTGATAAATGTCGGTTCCAGCATAAGGACATAGAGAAGCCCTCCGCTCCAGCACCTAAGTCCGAAGCAGCCCCGGCAGCTCCAAAGCCAGGGTCACCCAGGGCCAACTCTCCTGCTCCGCGCAGAGGGAGAAGTCCCAGGGCTAAGTCAAGTGACAAGGCCCCAAAGACGGCCGCATGCGCCATCGCGTTCGAGAATACAGCGGATCTTGAGATCTCGCCAAAGCTCGCTATGGCAGCGTCACATGACGAGGACTACTGGGAGGTAGACTTCACCGGCAACAAAATCATCCGCCACCACAAGAAGTACCGAACGGATTGGTATGTTCCTGACAATTCATGTCCAGTGAACCCCAAGAAGCTTAGGAGCCAAGCTAAACTCGAGCAGGTTTTGCCGGTCTCCCCTTTTGTGGGAAACAAGATCTACAACTGGAGGAAGACCCCAACCAAAGGACCCGGCAGCACATGGGTAGGTAAGACGATCTTCTACATGCAAGAACTCCCTAAGGTGAGTTTTGACAGCACCGTAGAAATGATTGCCATCGAACCGGAAGGAAAGCAGAGAAAGCATGCCTACCTTCCCAGGGTTTATGATGAAGTCTATCCCACTGTCGAGGCATGTCCACGCTCGAATCCTAAGGATCTGAAAAGGGCTCTTGTGTGGGCAAAGCAGTTTGCCACCATGATCGAATGCATGACTCACGACACGCCTGCGGGATGCGGGTATGAATGCATGGAGGAAGGCTTCCTCTGCGAGGAGTGCGAGCGACTTGCACGTCCGTCATGTGCAGGTCTGGTCCCCGGCTTAGAATTCCTAGCGGATACCGGAAGTGAAGAGGACCTCATCAGCAAGTCGGACTGCAGAACTCACTTCCCCGACGTACCTATTGAACCTGCCTCACGTCCTGTTTCTTTGATCACCGCCAACGGGCCGGTAAAAGGTAACGAAGCCGTTAAGCTAGAGGTCCCTGAAATCAACAAAATCCTCGAATGCTACGTGCTAGATTCAACGCCGCCGGTGTGCTCTGTTGGTAGGAGATGCATGGATGAGGGCTTCGATTTCCATTGGTACGCAGGGAAGACGCCTTACTTCGTGACACCTGAAGGCCGGAAACTTTACTGCAAGCTGCGCGGGCGAGTCCCGGTAATTGGGGATGGTACAATCGCCGTTCCCGCCAAGGATGAGAAAGCGGCTCATTCGCCAGTCATCCAGGCAACATCGGGTTTTCCCCGTTCAGCGGCCTAATAAGGCACGCCAATGCAGCAGAATCCGAGCCGGAAGGCGAATCCTCGGGCAGTGGCCTCGACCCCAGGATCGAAAAAGCACTGAAAGAGGCTGCTCCGTTAGGCATAAAGGCGGAGTACTTGAACAAACCAGGTTGGGTTTCGCATCCTTCCTTTCCACAGATGATCGTGGGGCACTTTCCCAAAACCTTTAGAACGCCTGCTACAAGGTTTCCAAAGCACGTCATCCGGAGTACTTGGACTTATGTCAAGAAATGGCAGGAGATCGAAAAAGACGTGGATGTAAGGACGTTGGACAATCGGGTAGCCAAGCTCCCCTCTGATGCCTGCATTCTCAGTGTAACGATCTTTAAAAGACCTGTTGATGACCCCGAGCCGGAGCCTGACAGCGAAAGAGAAGCTGAAGCTGACCCAAAGGACGAAAAACGTTCAGCCCAGCTCAAGCTGCAGGCCAATAGCCCGGAGCACAAATTCACCCACCGTCCTAAGAACCCTTTCTGCAAGGTATGCCAAAAGGCCAAAATGCTAGCGCCACATGCCAGAAAGCGAGGGGGGAGCTCCACTATCTTTTCGAAGAAGTTCGGAGACCACGTGACGATTGATCACATTGTGACCAAGGACTTGCGTGATTTTGGGATCGAAGGTGAGAAAGTTGCTCTTGTGGTTAAGGACGTGTTCACTAACTTTCGTTATGTGTACCCTGCAGGTACGAAGGAGTCGGAAGAGGTTTATGATTGCCTGTTGCACTACTTCGCTGTAGATGATGAACCAGGTATCATTTACTCTGACAATGCCCCCGAACTCAAGAATGCTACTGGGAAATACAAAGTTCGTCACAACACCTCACGACCTTATGTCGATGAAAGCAAGTCTGTTGTTGAGAGAGAGATTCGAACTGTGCTCGAGGGCACACGGGCGAACTTGCTGCAGGCAGGACTTCCAACGAAGCTCTGGCCCTTAGCTGCTCAACATCACACTATGGCTTTAAACTTGTCCAAAAGGATG